CTGTTTTTGTTTTGGATATCAACATAGCAAGAGTTACTTGTTATGCTGATATCTAGGCAGCTAAAGCCAATGCTAGCCATCGTTAGCAGCAGCTCTTTGGGCTGTCTCGCTGTAGGAACGGCTGGAATGCAGTCGCATGCTGTTATTTCCTTTAAGTTAATTTATAGAAATCATGATTTTGTGCATTAAGTTTACGTTTTGACTCTAATAAAGTTGCTGTTTCAGGTTCTGTGAAATTTTCCTCACCTCACTGCAGAGGTCATGCTGATCTCCAGTCAGGTTGCTTTTGACACCATTTGACCCAGCTGGTCCTTTCTGCAGCCAAGCATGAACGCCACGCGTGATTCAAAGCGCTAACATCTTCTCACTCGATCATGCAGCATCACTTTGCGCCGATGTTTGGTTATGACTGTCGGCCGGACAACAAATTAGAAAATACAGAGTGAAAAAGCAGAAGTGAAACACGTCTGCGTTTGCTGTGGAGACCTGAATGTGCTAGCAAAAGTGTGAACAACTTTAGCAGACTGCAGGTGCATTTGGGGGTATTTTCAGATTCACTCATTTCTGTAATTTGTTATGAAAATCAAAGAAAGGACCACAGGTGACAATCCGGTTCAACTAAAAACTAAACAACAGAGTCGGAAACCGCACTTTTCTCTATAAACAATCTGTTTATGAATGTGCATTAACGCAAAATGTTTCGTTTTTGGTCACTTTTAGCAAGTGTCAAGGCTGCTATTGTCACTGTTGTTGGTGCCCCTTTTCCCACATACAGGTTTTCCTTCCACTCAACTTTCCAAACAATATGTTTAGTCACAGCACTTTGTGAACAGCTGGCTTCATTTCCAATGATTCTGTGACTCACCGTTCTTATTGCGGGTTTCTGTCGCTGTCTGCTGGACAGCTGACATGTCAGCAGTTTGTCCAGACACTTAATATTAAATGTGACTAAATTAATTGTAGGTTTTATCGAAATAATCAGAAATAAAAGCTTGAAAAATATATATACTTAGTATGACTTTTACATTTATTGAAATTTTACTTAAATTTTAAAAAACTAGAATTTTAAAGATCATTTTTAAACTGTTATTTTATTTAATAAATAGAAAATGTACCATACTTCTGAGAACATTTTCTCGTATTTTTGTCTTATAAGAAACACTGACCAAATAAATGAGCCAAGGAATATCAAGTAGACAATACATATAAAAATAGGGTTGAAACAATTAATCACGATTAATTGATTATTGAAATAATCGTCAACTAATTTGGTAATCGATTAACAACTAATTGGAGTATCCAGATTCAAAAATGCTGTTTACTGGGAAAAGGCAACATATTTCGGTCAATAATTAATCACAAGCTGCACAAAAAATAAACATTTTGCATCTAAAATGAAAAAAATGTTTGCAAATATGTTTTAGCTAAAACTCTTTAAGTGGCATTTTTAGCATCACCTGTTTCAGATGTACTAAAGGAATGTTATTGCAATTTAAGCAATAAAATAATGAATAAAGTTTATTTGAATATTTTAATGTATTCTTCATATTGTATGAAAAGCATTAATGTGCCAATTTTTATCCGATTCAATTAATCGTTAAATATATAACAAGTAAGCTAAACATTCAAACAGGATCCCTGTGTGTTTACTTTTACTTTTCAAATTAAAAGCAGGAGTGGGATTCATTTCACGTGAAAACAAAAAAGTGAGAAGTGAAACTGCCGATTATAAATGAAAACAGATGAAAAGTTTGTTTTCAGCTCTACACTGTAAAACACTTTTATTATTACTGTGAGTTTCGCTCTTTGCTCTCAGTAAAAGTAACTTTTTTCTACACTTGAGTCGGTCCCGCCTTACAGTAAGAGAGCAGCGCCGCGTTCCTCCTGGTGTCTCCTGCATGTGACGAGTCATTTAAAGGCGCAGACGCTGCAGCGCTTTCACTCTCAGCGGTTAGAACCACCGCAGCGCATTATCGGCACTGCGATACTATTTTCAGCTCCTCTCGTTTTAACACGCACGCGTTCTGATGGCGGCCCGGTTTGACTCAAAACAGCCACCTTTGATCTGGTTCCCCAGACGCCGACACGAGGCCGTGAGATAGTTGCAGTTGTTTGGGTACTAGATCGCATATTTAAAAAAAGGGGCATTCCAAAGAAAACTGCCCCATTACTGCTGCTAATTTCCCCCTGCAGGTTTCCCAACAGCAGCCGGTGACAACGAGGGACAAACGTGACTTACAGAAACCGGCCTGACGTTTCCGCCGGCGAAATTCAACTTTGGGATTTCGGTTTTGATGCTGTCGAGCGAGATACTCGTTTAAAGTTCATCACCTCAATATCTGGATAACTTCCAGTGATGCATGACAACCAGAGGAGGCCAAGTGTCCACCTGCTGCAACATCTACTTACTCAAGTGAAAGTAAAAAGTGTCCGTCCAGAAATCACTCAAAAACAAGCAGAAAGTTAAATTATCAATCATTTAATATTTAAAAATTACATCATCAGACGGACCAAAATATACATTTAAATGGACATTTTGATATTTTAATTCATATAAGTAACAAAATCAGGCAAAATAATTTTTTTCCAAATCAGTTGGATTTGGAAAAAATCCAACTGATTCTGGTGAGTTTCTGGTTAAAACATGTTTGATTTTCATTCAGTGGGAGGAAAATACAGAAATTTTACTGAAATAAGAGCAGAAATACTTCAGGATAAAATTAATCAAGTAAACATAAAAATTCAGCATAGTAAAATACATTTTTTCAAAAAAGTTAAATGTAACTAATTACTACCCAAGTCTCATCACAACACTGCAAAAACACAAAATCTTACCAAATAATTTGGTTCTAGTTTCTAAAGGCAATAAGATAAAACTGACAAATAACTTTTCAACAAGACATAAGAGCTTTTCTTTCTAAATAATTCCTTAATAAAAAAAGTTCTATATCTATTTGCAAATTATTTTATTGATAATAAGACATTTTCCCATAAGTGAAATAATATAAGCACTTTTTCATTAATATTAAGGAATTATTAACTTAAAATAAAATAACTTAATGAAAAGTTACTTGTAAGTTAGTTTTGTTTTATTTTGTAACATTACAACTTTATTACTGCATTATTTAAACTTTTGTATGATATTACAATTATTCTTTCATTATTACAACTTTATTCACATTATTACAACTTTATTCACATTATTACAACTTTATTCACGTTATTACAACTTTATTCTCATATTACTGACTTTTTCATGCAATATTTCGGCTTTGCTGTGGTATTTTCTTCTTAGTGTTGCTCCATTGTCGTATTTGGGTTGGTCAGAGACCAAAAAGCCGAGTTTTTGTGTCCAGACAAACTAAATTAGCGAGAAATGTTTGATGAAGTGGAGGTGAGGCAGAGCAGAGGTTAGCTTAATGTAAGGGGAAGATAATGAAGAAGATGAGAGAGGAACCAAACGAGCCGAGGTCTGTAATGAAGGAGGAGAGGTCAAAGGTAAAAGAGGGGTGATGCTGGGCGATCGGGGGGATTAATGGCGGACTGATCGGAGCGGTGAGACGGGTCGGGTCGGCTGACTCAGTCACATTCCTGTCATGCAGATTTATAGCAGCTCGGGGTCCTGGGACAGGCCCGGAGCCGCGGCCAAATTACAGTCATCTGCAGCATTCCTCTGCTGCAAACACAGGTTAGCAGCACGGCCGCGCTAAGTGCTAGGTGCCGCCTGTTGACAAATGACTTCCTTTGAAGGGCACAAAGACGGAGGGAGACGCTCGGAGAGAGGCGGCCTGTTTACCGAGCGAGGGCACAGAGTCGCTCAGTCTGCGTTTTCTTTTGTTGGCGCGCAGCTCTGCCATAACTACAGATGAAGACTCGGTGTTTGTATGCATGTTTGGGTGTGTTTGTACAACGTGGGCACCGACACCGCAGCTCCCAGCGGAGGGTTCCCCCCCACATGCACCCGGACACACAGAGCGACGCATCGTGACCTTGGATTGGAAGGTCATTCATGGATGACCTGTCATGCTTAGCATCGGCCTGCAGTCTACACAAAACATGTTCATTACAGTTTATTGCACAAAATCATCTGTAGGGGATGAGGTTTGCTCAGTTCTGCCGATTCAGACTGAGCCGTTCTAGGAATGTTTGAAAAGCATTAGAAGAGCCTCCTGCACAACCAACCAGAATTCAGCAAGTGGTTTCTGGATGGCAAATCAACAACAAAACACTGCAAAAACACAACATTTAACCAGGTATTTTTATTTTATTTTTTTTATCTTAATACACTTAAAGCTTAAAATTAACTTTTCAGTGAGATTTTGGAGTTTCATTGCCATCTCTGGTTCCATTAGCAGAGTTTTTCACTTACAACAAAACATTTCCCCCAAGTTACAAATGAAATAATCCACCAGGTGAACTAGAACCTTTTCATCAGTATTCAGGAATTCTTTACTTAAAACAAGCTCAAATATCTTTTGTCTTATTTCAAGTTTACAAAGATATTTGCTCTAAAAACTATACAAAAACTTGGTAAGATTTTGTGTTTTTGCAGTGCGTTCATCAACAAAATCATTCTTGGATATTTCAATCTGCTCTGTTCATCTAAAAATGTTTGAAAAGTATTAGTAGAGCCTCCTGCACAACCAATAAGAATTCAGCATGTTATTATACTCATGCTGGCAAATCACTTGTGTTTTCCAGCAGCCATTGTACAGAGCATACAGCGGTACAACCAGGTGACCAAACGTCCTGGAGCTCAGCTTGGGTTGCTAGGTAACAGGCAGAACTCAGCTTTAGTTGCTAGGTAACGGGGCTGGGGCTGTTTGCCAAAACACGGTTTGGTCGTTTTTAGAAGCAGTTGAGGTCGAGATGGAAGTATAAAACATTCAAAATGTGAATTTTTCATAACAGATCTCCTTTAACGGAGCTGGTTGAGTCGTTTACGCTGTTTTATGACGGCCTCAGTGACTCTGTGTGACGGATTTGTGTTTTTCCTCCAGGTGTTCACAGGCACCAATCCCAGGACCTCTCAGGATACTACTCCCTTCCTCCAGGTGGCGTTGGCCAGATCACTCCCTCCATGAGCTGGTGAGCTGCACACATTTGTTTAATAACTCGTTCCATGTTTAAATAAAAATGCCAAAAAACTTTTCTCAGGTTTATTTGGCAGAAATGTGCAGATTTCCTCTGTTTTTTCTGAGGTTTCTGGTAACATAAGCCAGTAAACAATGGGATGAAATGAAACTTTTAGAAATTTTTCTGCGGTTAGGAATGTTTTCTTAAAAGAACAAACAGTAGACGTGGTTGCAGTGGATGACAGTCCACATCCTGACGACAGACAACATAAATGAAAACAGAAATCACATGACGTCTTTCAGCCCTAAGGAATTAACTTGCTGAAAAGCAAATAAAGCAGCAACCTTTATTGTAAAAATGTTTATTTTCTATTCGTTTAAGGTGAAAAGATTGTAAAAGTTAACAGACTAGCATGAAGAATTTACATTTTTGGGTCAAGATCAACAATCTGAAAATGTACATTTTATCCCTTAGAACCGGTATTATTTTATAAGTTTTCTCCATTTCCACATTATCTGTTTATTTTATTAGATATAAAACTAGTTTACCCTTTAAGTTGAAGATCTGTTTTATCCCTGACAAACTATTCTTCAGATTGATCAGTATTTATTTTCACTTCCTGTTTTTATTCAAGTGTCAGGTCTAAAAAGGACATAAAAGAAACAAATTAAATAATGTTAGACAGTTAATGTGCATGTATATGTAGTTTTGTTTCAGCAAAGATAATAGTAATGTCAGGCTTTTTAAAGATCAGCAAGAAAACTGCAATCAGTTTGCTTCTGTCCAGAACATCTGTGATAGATAAAAATAACGAGTTCGGCCAGTCATTATTTACACAAACATCTCATGTTTTCCTCTAAATGAGATGAAAAAAATGTAAAACAGTCCAGAGACTTAAAACCTGTAATTCAGACCATAAATTTATCATAAACCATCTAACTTGTTTGTTTTCTTCCTGCTGTTTTTCTTTATTTGCATTTTAGTAAATGAAACCTGTTCAGTTCTGCACAAGTAAATGTACAAAGACAATATATAAAATGATTTTTTTTGGTGATTTTGCCCAAATGAAATCTTGGAATGGAGCAGAAATAGACTCAGTTTTAACCAAGTTGGGTTTTTTACCCAATTTGTGAATTTTCCATCCTTCTCTAGCTGCGTTTGATTTCCAGCAAAATGGAAACTTTAAACCAAAATGTCTTTTTTTCTTTCTGTTGTTGCATTTTCCTGAAACTGCTCAGAAAGAAGCTGAAAACAGACACATCTGCTCCATGTTTTCTCATTTTAATGTCACGCAGCGTGATTGTGGATCTATAATGTCAGGCTGCCACAGAGTTATGGATCAACACAAATCCGTTTAGAGCAAACCTCCAGAATCCAAAATCCTCTCTGGAATAGTTTAAGTCTTACATCAAATGTCAAGAAGATTTAAGAAGAAAGTTGTTTTTCATTTTAAATGTGTGATTACATGTGTGTTTATTGTGTTTCTGAAAGTCAATATTTGTCCCCAAACATTCCTACAAGCATTTATCTCCTTCAGAGAAAGAACGCTTCACTGTGGATTTGTCATGAGTGTTATTAGCAGATAATCTCCTTTACTCCAGATTATCTGCTTGTTTTAGGTCCTTGTAGTGTAGATCTTTTGTTGAAGGAGGAGAGCTTAAATGCCATTTTTCTGTGGTGTTGACGATCAGTCTGGGACTTCAGAGGAAACCCGATCGCCTGCTGGCCTATTGCTTCTGTTCATCTCACACCGTGAAGATTTGTTGTTTGTTCTCATCCGTTTTTCCAGAATGCAGCTTTATGCTTGAACACAAAAGTTTGATGTAGTATAACTGGAACTGAAAGCTAAATTTGAACTGAAATCCCAGGAAATTCAAAGATCTGCAGCAGGCTCGTTTGCATAAAATACCAAGCATCAGCTGCAAAAGTCTTCATACCTGTTAAATATGTTTATATTTTGTCACCTTCCAAGTTTATCACTTTCAAATTTTGTGGCTGTGAAAATGATAGAAATAATGATAAAAAATTACTTACTACATATCATCTAACTGTGACTGCATGCAGCATTCATTGCGCCACAAACAAATAATTCTCTTGAGAAACTTATTTAAAAAGTGTGAATTATATCACTGCATTGCACACAGTAACTACATTTGATCATATTCTCAAACTTTTATTTATTGATCTTCTTGTGGAACAAACAGTTTAAATCGGAAAGGTAGTAAAAATATATTTAAAAAACTGTCATTTATGAAAAGAACAAAACTTTTTTAATAGGAAATGTTTGTGATAAATGCTCAGCTCTACAAACACAAACTTCATTGTGTTTTTATGTGATAGAAATAAAAACAATTCAGACTCTTTTATTTTGATCCTTCTAAAATAAAATCTGGTTAATTCAGAAGGTTCATATTTAATAGAGTTTATCTGAGTTTAATTCATCTGTCTGTGAAGAACTGAGAGGTTTGTTAGTGAACAAGCAGACAGATCAGGAAGGTACAAGCGGTTCACACTGTAAAAAAACTTTAATCTTACCAGGTAGTTTTTGTTTAGTTTCTAGAGCAAAATGTTAGTCCACTTGAAATAAGAAACAGCTAACTAGAAGGTAATTTTTCAGCATGATATATGAGCTTGTTTCACTCATTATCAATTGAAAACCTACCAAAATGGCCGCCCACTTTAAACGTTGGGGTGGGAAATCTCAGGCAAGAGGTCTCTGGTCACAACCTGGTAGAGAAAAGCCAAAATTTAAACAATTCAGTTTGAAACCAGAAGACAAACAGATGAATGCAGACATGAACTTAACAGGTACAAACTTCATGTCACGCACAAACATGATCTACAAAAACAGGATTTCATAGCAAAATGAGGAGAATAAATGCATCGTTTCTGCCCTCATGAATATGTAAAACAAATGCCGATCACTAGGAACCACAAAATGCTGAGAGGAGGTCAAGCAAATGCAACGTGATTTACTAAACCTGAACCAGATTGTTAAATCATTTGAAGAATATGAAATGAAAATAATCAAAGATGAATTAGAAATATCCTCCAGCAATGCAGATTTTGAGCTGCAGGATTACCAGATAATTCACCGTCACTTTATTTGAGCAGACAAATGGTGGGTCTCGACCTCCCACTGTGATCACAATGCATTGGACAGATTAATTACTGCTGACATCCAATTAGTTCAAAAACATCACGACTAAATCTAAATATTACTTAATAAAAATGAACAGACCAGAAAACCTTCATGGTGGTGGCAGAGTCATGCTGTGGGAATGCTTTTTGTTTATTCTTACTTCTGCTTTTTTTTAGTTTATCAAACAAAATCCCGTTGAAATACATTAAAGTGTGACAAAATGCATAAAAGTTCAAAGGGTCCTGACTAACCGCGATTATTCCCAACATTTACTGGAATATTTTATAAACATTTTCAGTTGACAAAGCTGCAAATAATTGTTAAAATATTGGTTATTAAAGCCGTTTTCTGACCTGAGGAGATGAAAAGTGGAAGAGTCTGATGATGGTGATGCTGATGATGAGGTTTAGATAATGGATGTGGACTGAAGAAGGGATCAGTCAGCTGCAGAGGGGAAGATCTCGGGAGATTGCTGTTTTCTCCATATCAAAGCCCGTCTCCACCTCCCACTGTGATCACGATACAGCTTCTTCTACGTCACAGCTGTCAACAGATCCACTCTGCTTTTACAGAAATATGTTTTAATTCAAGTATGAAGTCTAATGTAAGACTTTACAAGGACATCCAGACAAAAACAGCTGTTCAACTATAATTAGAAAATTACCCAAGTTTACAAATTCAAATGTTCTTATAATGGAAAATGTTTGATGCAAAGAAAATATTAATTTTTTGTATTTTTTTATTATTTGGTTTTATGGTAAACAGGAAGGAGTGACTTTTCCTCAAAAGCAGACTTTATTGCTTTTAATTAATTTATTAAGCAGGATAAATATATGAAGTGACAAATATCCTGTTTTATAGCTGAGACTTTATTCTCCAATTTGATCTTAAATGGTTTTAGAAACTATATATTTTTGAGCCCGCACCTAATTCAAAAAGTTTGGACACCCAAACAGCTAAGACCGTCTTTTAGCGGTGTAGTTTGGCCGCCATCCAGCAGAGGGCGCCGCCGGTCATAAACGGAGCCGGTTATACAGAAACAAAGATGGTGGTATCATTGAACGGTACAGAGAAGTGATCCAAACACAGTCCAGTTTGGAATGAAAAATGTTCTTATGCGGTTCTGTTTAGAAATATAAACACTCGATAAACTTCTTAATTTATCAACTTGATATCGCTCATTCAGCCGTTTTTAATGGCGGAACAGCGTCAACTTTATCAGCTAAAAATTACTGATGTGCTACGAGAGCTTTGGTATGACTAAAGCGAAGGGCACAATGCAGAAAAATTATAACGTGGCGGGTTTCCGTGACAGTTTCCTAAAAGCTTCTTGTGGGTAAAGAATCCAGTGAGTTTAAATGGGCTCAAACTTTAAGCTGTGAAGCTAAACGCAGCGCCTGCTGCCGTCTCTCCCTGTGCTGTGCCGCGGCAGGCAGAGCCAGCCGGTCTACCCGGCCTTGTCCCCTTGTGGATTCAGGCAGCCCTACTCCTCCAGTCTCCCCAGCGCATCGTCCTACTCCAGGTACCGCATCCTGCCGGCTGGACCGGCCCAGGACAAACCGGCCGCGCAACAGCAGGCTCCAGTTTACAGCACATCACCAAAAACTAAACCAAACGCCTCCGAGCAGGACGGATCAGAATTTCATCAGGACGGCTTCTGCCATCGGTGTGCTGTAAACGGGTCGAGCCCCGTCAAACCGAGCCAAGCCACGCTAATCGCTGCTCAACTTCATGAAAATTTGAAAGAAACCCGCTGTTTTGCTGCTTCTAAGCTCTGTGCACTGCAAAAACACAAAATATTACCAACTTTTTCTGGTCTAAGTTCTGGTGAAAATATCTTGGTACACTTGAAGTAAAACAAAACTTACTTAAAAGTAACTTTACAGTTTTAACTCGTCAATATTGAGGCAAAACTTCTAGTTCCATTGGCAGATTATTTCTTATTATAAGTGAAATAATCTAATCAAGCGAGAACTTTTTCATCAATATTTAGGAATTATTTACTTAAAACAAGTGTATCTTGCTGAAAAGTTACTTAGTTTTGTCTTGTTTCAAATGTGATAAGACATTTGCACTGGAAATTAGACCAAAAATACTTAAGATTTGTGTTTTTGCAGTGTGTTTTTATTTGTGTCTGTTGCTCTACATACACATTTAACATGCTTTAGGTTAAAATTTTGCACAAACCTGGTCCGATATCTCTGCGTAGTCATCCAGAATATGAAGATGCTTTATTTTTTTAATAGTGTTTGTTTTTAGAGATGCAAAAGATAAATAGTTTTAAAGCTCATATAACAGCATTATAAACTGCTTTGTTCATAATACCCTTGGTCAAATATTTCTGTTTCCAAACAGCATAAGGACTAAAACCAACAACACGCTCATTGTTCTCAAGCTGCTTAACGCCGTTTAGATGTTTCCTCTTTCTTTGTTGTTTTAAGACAACAGCAGCTGCTTCTCTTTTACACCAAATATTAAAGAGAAGAAATATATCCAGTCTAATGTTCACAGGCTAAACTGTAAAACAAGTCTTGATCTTTCAGCTGCTTTGTTTTGAAAAACAATACTTGTGCGCCCTCTAGTGGTGACAAATGTTGAAACTACAGTATTATATATCATGATTTAACATACTATTATATTTTGACATAAAATATTACTTTTAATGACCAAAAAAGCTCTTAAAAGTTGCTTTTTAACAACCTTAGACACAACAAATTTAAATTAATGTTTTTGTATGATAGGAACCTAACTTGGACGTTAGATGATGCTTTTTCTGCTTTCAATGCTTGGCCAGAAGTGCCTCTTTGCTTCAGCGCTCTCCGTTCTCTCTGCCTGTAAGTCAATGCATCGCTCCAAACCGCTCAGGTTTGCGTCACTTTTCACTGTTTTCCTCCGTTTTGTTTCAACCCTTCCAGGTTCCCTCACTCTTTGATGCTCGGACCGTCGGGCGTGCATCCAACAGGGATCCCCCACCCGGCTATAGTGCCCTCTTCGGGCAAGCAGGAGCATGATCAGTACGACAGAGGCATGTACATGTAAGTCACTCCGACTTCCTTCATCACAACTGTTTAATTTAATTCAATTAAATTTTACTTATTTGTTTAGCACATTAATCAATGTGACATAAATATGCAGTTGATAATAGACTCATCTTTTCCTCGCCGTAGCCGCCCTGCCGCTGCAGAACCGTTACCAAAATGAAACTCGGAGATGAAGCTATTATTAATTTAGTGCAGAGCGCCACAGCAAAGGGAAAAATAACGCTGAAAAACCATTGAAGAATAATTCAAAACCACTCGTATTCTTCTTTTCTCTTGCTCTACGTACCACCTACGCTACACAAAGACTCGTTGCCATAGCAACTGACTGACAGCAGCTCCACTAATATTTCAGGATTAAACACTCAAACATTTCCCACACAAAGAACAGAGCTGTGGTAGATTAGCTAATTTAAACACCTGTTCTTCTGATGATCAGAGTTGGTGTTTAGGTCGCCTTTTTAAATTTTTTAATTGAACTGATACACAGGGAATTCTGCAGCACATCTACATATTAAAGTTGTCATAGTCAAGCTAGCTTAACTGACCTACTTCTCTCTCCCTTGCTATGTTTTTTATTTAAACTTCCTCCTGACGTTATTTAGTTGACATAGTGTTGACAATTAGTAGCAAAGCTCTATTTGTTTTATACATCAGGCATACATTTAAGATTTAGCGCGCTATGTTGACAACATAACAGCTAAACCAATGCTAGCCATTGTTAGCAAGCAGCTTGTTGGCTTCCAGCAGGAAGCCGGGGGCGGGTTCTTGTTCGTGTGACGTTACGCTGCTACGTGTTCATAAAACTCTCAGTACATCTAGAAAAGCTAACAATGAAAACATTTATACAAGAAATAACTAACAGACAGAAACAATCTAAACAACAGACCCTCATTAGTGATTAAGTTTCTTTTTTTTAAGTTTTGACTGTTTCTGATATAAATCTTCATTTTCAGCGCTGTTCATGTTTATTTTTGCGGATGTTCTCGCTCCTTCAGGAAGCCGCAGGTGGAGGTCAAGCGGGAGAAGGAGCCCAAGAAACCGGTCATCAAGAAGCCGCTGAACGCCTTCATGCTCTACATGAAGGAAATGAGGGCAAAGGTCATCGCCGAGTGCACGTTAAAGGAGAGCGCCGCTATCAATCAGATTCTGGGACGAAGGGTGAGTGACACAAACATGAACTCATCATTTATTTATATCTGCTGGAACATTTTTAACCTCTGACCCCCTTTACAAACCCACAGAAATGCTACAAAATATGTAGAAAATAAGATCAACTATTAGAATGTTTTTATTAACTATTTCCTTATTGTTACATTCATTTAGCATAAATGCTGCATCGTACCATCTGATTGTAGTTGGTCATGAGTTTTGTTGCCTGAAAATTTAATTATTAGATAATATATTGTGGCAATTACCAAATAATAAAAATTTTCAACAAAATCCTCTCTTTTAATAATAAGAAAATCTGTAATATTTTATATTAATATGAATCAAATTGTATTTTTCAGAGTCGCTCCTTTTGGTTATTTTCTTGTCAGTTTGTTGCTAGCTATGTTAGCCTGAGGAGCAAAGCAGCCAGTCAGAAAATGAGAAATAAATTATTAACTCATATTTTATTTTTAAAATAATCAGAAAAAAATATGAAAACGTTAAGATTAAAAAAATCATGGGATTCAATTCTTTTTTATTATTTTAGCACGTTTTTTCTCATCTTCTCTCCGCCTTTCTGAGGCCCCACAGCGCCCCCTGGCGGTCCCACTGCTACATTTGTTTTGTTTTTATTAATATTCATTGCAAATGTTTTTCTTTTTTGGAGAAACGGGTTGAAAGTTGTTAATTTTCTGAAGGGATCGGTTTTGGATCAGTAAATAATTCTGACCTGAATTTGTTCCCAGTGGCACGCTCTGACCCGGGAGGAGCAGGCCAAGTACTACGAGTTGGCCCGGAAAGAGAGACAGCTCCACATGCAGCTCTACCCGACCTGGTCTGCTAGAGACAACTACGTAAGTTACTTTGCTCTGCTCCTCCCCCTCCCCAACCTGTTTCCATCTAACTCTAGCTCTCTGGCTCAGAGTGAACATATTCAGACCAAGGAGCTGATTAAGAAAAACATAAACAGGAAAGTGTTGCAGCCCCTCCTTTCTGTTGTGCAGAAATGATGAATTTTGTGTCTGGGTTTGCGGTCGGAGAAATAGACGTCAACGCGTTGCCGTGGTTACAGCAACAGTGGAGTAAACAACAATTAAACTCAGAAATCACTGTAAATACTTTTACTGTATTTTAATTCACTAATACGTATTAGTTTATATCAGTTTAATTTAGTGGTAGTAGTCTGGTATGGCAGGCTGTTACGATATTTATGCTCTGAAATGTGACGAATGTTCAGCAGGTAAAAGGTTCTTAAAGAAGGAACCTTTTTGCTAAAAGGTTTTCCTAATCTGGATTAACAGGATTAACTATTGGAAAATGTTGGAGTCAAACCTAAAACCGTGAATTTCTGAAACATATTGACTTGTTTTTATATTTGTTTATATTTAAATTATGTATTTTATCTGTGGTTTGCTTCATCACACCTATTTTGTAATATTTCTCCAGCTGATTGACTGTTTTGGTTTGTATTCTGAGCTGCAGATGATTGCAGTGTCATTCAAAAGATGTAGGAAATGGATATTTTGCTATTTTTAGGCCTTTTAAGAATTTTTATTTTGTTTCAAACTGTGGTTCTTAATTTTAGTTTGTTTTGGTTTAAATAAAACTGTCCTCAAATGAGTCTCCTTATTCAAATTTGCATATTTTTATGCTTCAATAATCAGAATCTTTTAAAAACTGGAGCAAAATGTGAAATTTCTCTCAAATTTTATATAAACTCTTTTTTTTTCAAATTGAAATTAAAAAAAAGCAAACAATGAAACGTTTGTTCTTCAAATTTTATTTTCAGTTTGATTCTCAATTTTCTGTTGCCTACCAACTTTATTTAAATTGAATCTTTTTTTCAATTTTACACTTTAATAAGTAAATCACATCAGATGTTTGTAAAATTAAAGTATCTCCTATCAGTTTTTACTGATGAAGCCCAAATCATTCGAAGCTCAACATCCGATTTGATTCTCTGAATTTTATTGACGCCTCTGCCTGTAAACCCACAGTGAAACGTTTAAAGATGGCCGGCGTGTGGTGCATGCTGGTTTCTTTGAAAGATCAATGTTTTGGGGTTTTGCTGAATCTGGGCTGCTGTGTGCCTCTGACTTCTCAGTTTGCTGTTGAACTCTTGCAGGAGGCGGGCCTTAGCGGGGTCGCAGGGGAAAAGAGTAAAGCTGATTGGGTAGGGACTCGTCTAATGGTGGATTTATACCTCTGTGGTGTGGGGTAAAAATAAGAACATAAAAATAAAGTGTTTGAGAAGCTGCATGAAAGCGGGAGGGGGCTGTGGGTATTTCTGTGCAAAGTTTGCATGCACCCTCCTGAGAGATTGCTCACGTTTGAAGCATGTAAACGAGGACAGGCCCTCCGGTCGGTAAGATGTGGATGCATTTCAAATCTCTATCTCTACTAAAACTCTCCATCACACAGAGGTATAAATCAGCCGTCTTTTTCCAACTAACAGAGAGCAGGGCTGCATGGCTGGCCTCGCTGCATCCGTTTATTTATCATTTCAAACACTACAACAGCTTCATTTGGTTATTAATTACTTTATTATCAGTCCTTCTGTTTTGCTTTGTTTGAGAAAAAACACATTTTGACATATTTCTGCTGCACTTTGGCCAATTTCCTCACGTCACCTTCCAAAGAGTCAGACTTTCTTGCAATATTTTAATGTAATCTTAACTTTTAGTCTTGAAGTCATCGTTTCTCTGCACCTGAAAATAAATCTCTGTATAGGAGACGAGCAGCATCTAAAAGTCATGTTGTAAAGAAATAAGGAAGGAAATATTCTCTTTTTCACTGAGTTCAACTGGAAAATAGTTTCTGATCCCAAAGATTCAGTTAGAAATGATTCTGTTTGGTTTTCTGTTACATGTAACATTTATTTTTATTGCTTTGTTTCTGCAGATCTAAATCATTTCATAATAAAATACAATTTTAATAATCCAAAACAATCCCTTCACCCTAAGTAGTTCTACCAAAAAACATAAAATAAATCAGGAAATGCTTGTTAATCCAAAGAAAATCCAGCCTGAAGGAGTTTGGAGAAAGAGCAGCATAAAGGGAAACTATCATGCAAAAAAAAAAGAAAAGAAAATACTTTTGCACATTTATATTCTTCCATTTTGACTTCTACTGCTTCTACAAAACAACCAAGCACTTAAAAAACAAAAAACACCCGTTAGCAATAAGTACATGTTTGTTTTAGTGTGTAGAAAACGAGCCGTTTCAGAAACCTCCGGAATAATGTTACAAAACAGCAGGCACTACGTTGTTACATAGCAACCCCAGAAGAGTTCCGCCCGTTACCTAGCAACCCCAGAAGAGTTCCGTCTGGTACCTAGCAACCTAAGCTGAGCTCCAGCACGTTTGGTCAGTTGGTTTTCCTGCTGTATGTCCTGTACAATGGCTGCTGGAAAAGACAAGAGTTTTGTTGTTGACTCCATCCAGAAACTACTTGTTGTGCAGGAGGCTCCACTAATTCTTTTCAAAGATGTACAGTTGGATAGCAGAGTATCTGATTGCAGCCATTTTCACATCTGAGTGTAAACGTTGAGTTGGGGGCGTGGCCAGCAGCAGCTTGACTGAAATCTCATTTTCTAAGAAGCTTAAAGTGTCGCCGTTAAAACATTGTGAGAAAGTCTGAATGAAACGAGGCGGGGCAGGTGACAAGAAAATCCCTTTTCCCATCAAAACAAACAAATCATTTAATGTGAAAATCCTCTGTGTGTGTGTGTGTGTGTGTGTGTGTGTGTGTGTGTGTGTGTGTGTGTCTGTGTGTTTGTGTGTGTGTGTGTGTGTGTGTGTGTGTGTGTGTGCGTGTGTGTGTGTGTGTGTGTGTGTGTCTGTGTGTTTGTGTGTGTGTGCGTGTCTGTGTGTGTGTGTGCATGTCTGTGTGTGTTTGTGCGTGTGTGTGGTGGTTTCTAGCATGTTCTGTGACTTGCAGGAGAAACCCTCTACGTGTGTGGAGCTTCTCTTCCTGTTCTGCTCGCAGACAGGGGTTTCTCCAAACATATCGAGTTATGCTGCAGCATCAGACATTAAACACACACACACGCAGACAAACAGACACACACACACACACACACACACACACACAGCAGGAGCTCCATTTGCAGGATGACTTGTTGTAAACCACACAGGCGGCGCAGAGCGAGGCGGCGCAGCGTAGGCGGTAGATTCCTCTCCCCACATCCTTCATCTCAGCCTCGGTTCATCAGCAGCAGAAGAACTCTCATGTTTACCTCAACACACACTAACACTCGAGAAACAGCGAAAGAAATGTCAAGTTTGTCTTTTCTGAGTGATCTGAAATGAAAAAGGATTTTATAGGAGACGTCTGCTCTTTTTAACACTGGTGGAAACTGAAGGTTGTGCATGAAACTCGGTTCTAGTGACTGAAGCAGTAGAAGCTTTTGTTTCTCTTTCTTGCTTTAGTTTCTGGTTGTAGCTTTTAACTTTTCATGTTTGAGTTTTTTGTTTGCATTTCAACATGGAGCAACACTTCAGAAAGTTTATTTTTTTTAATAAACTACAAAAAGCCTTGCAAACGTACTAATACTCCTACCGAAAACCAACTTTAGTGTTTTATATTTGGATTTTACGTACCAGATCAACACAGAATGGAAGCGAAAGGAAAACAATGAATTTATTTTACACCTTATCAGTGGATGTAGTCCATCTGTTCATGGTGATGGCCTGAACTCTGAAGTCATCACGCCCATCAGGGGAAATGGTGGCGGCAGCATCATGATGTGGAGGAGGCTTTCTTTAGCAGGAAAGTTATTTTTTCATTTAGCCAGAATGAAATGCATAGCTAAAACATATATTTTCTTAAGGTTTTTTGCTCACAACAAATTATGATTATTATGAAATTATTTTTCTTCTGCTTTGTGTTGGTCTTTAACATTAAATCCCACAAGAAACACTGAAGTTTGTGGTTGGACAGAATATAAATTTGGGGGGTTTCTTTGGTTGTTTCTGTCGTGTTTTAAATCTGTCTCTGTCAGATACCTGAGTTAAGTTTTATTTCAATTCACTGCAAAAACACAAAATATTACCAAGTATTTTTGGTCTAATTTCTTTGAACACTTGAAAAAGGATAAAACTGGCTTACAAGGAACCTTTTGGCAAGATATATGAGTTTAAGTCAGTAATTCCTTACTGTTGATGAAAAAGTTCTAGTTTCATTGGCAGATTATTGAACTAATAACATGACATTTTTCCCTTTTTATAACTGAAATGATCTGCCAGTTGCTATGTAACGGGTGGGGCTTGGCTGGGGTTGCTAGGTAACGGGTGGGGCTTGGCTGGGGTTGCTAGGTAACGGGCGGGGTTAGGCTGGGGTTGCTAGGTAACGGGTGGGGCTTGGCTGGGGTTGCTAGGTAACGGGTGGGGCTTGGCTGGGGTTGCTAAGTGCACTAAGATATCTGCACTAGAAACTAGACCAAAATTACTTGGTAATATTTTGTATTTTTGCAGTTAAACTGAACAGCTGATTTTGTATTTTATTTTAGGTAATAAATGTTTCATGCTTTTTGTTTGTGTGGGATTCTGTAAACTTTAGATGACCTTTATGCTTTCATTTCTTCAAAATTATGAATTCCCAGATAAAAACAATCAACATTTTTATAGTTTAAGTTGAGTTTTTTCAGATTATCATGACCTGCATGTAAAAACAAATGATGTCCTTAAAATCTCAACAGCAAAAACAAAGATTTCAAACCGTTTTATGAACGGAGCAGATTCTCTGCATCTATTTAAAACGGTTCATTGGGTATTAATACTTTTGCAAGGTTATATAAACTGAAAATATTTTATTGTGTTATGCACAGAGGAATCAGACTCTACACTGTAAAAACACAAAATTTGACCAAGTAGTTCTGTTTCTAATGCAAATATCTTCGAACACTTGAAATGAGACAAAACTAACTTATGAATAACTTTTCAGCAAGATATAAGAGCCTGTTAGATTATTTCACTTCACTTTATAGACATAAAAATGTCTTGTTATAAATTAAATAATCTGCCAGCAGAACTTTTTCATCAACATTAAGGAATTATTGACATAAAACAAAGTCATATTTTGCTGAAAAGTTATTTGTAAGTTAATTTTGTCTTATTTCAAGTGACCTAAGATGTTTGTTCTGGACCAACATTACTCAGTAACCCTTTGTGTTTTTGCAGTGTATGTTGTTATTGTTGTCTAAAAATAAATGAAATTAACTTGATAAATCTGGGGCCATTTTTGTTTGTGTTTGTCCAACAGGGCAAGAAGAAAAGGAGAAAACGGGAGAAGCAGCAGGACTCCAACACAGGTAAGCATCTCTGTGTGAACTCTGCTGGCAGAATGAGCAGAAACTTTGTGCTGCGTTGGTGCTGCAGCTCACTGCTGAGGCAGGAAGTGACTCTAACGTCAAACCACCCACCCACTCTGCTTTCCATGCAACCTGAATTAGAAAAGTGTAAATCCAGGAGTGTGAATGTTCCACATGAATCCAGGCTCGATGAAAATGCATTTCTGTTTGCTGCTCTCTGCAGAACATGAAGGTTTTTCTGTTTTGTTTTTTTGCACGGCTGCTTTCCTCAGAGAGTTTAATCTGAGCGACATTAACTGCATCTGTGCTGTTTGTCACTGTCGCGTTGTGCTACTAACAGTTTTGGCTTTTTTCTCTTGTGTATCTCTCCTCCCGTTGTTTTCTGGTTTTCCTGTGACCCTCTAACTTCCCCCTCTTCCTTCGCTCCTCCTGTTTATTACATCTATGTTTTGCTTTTCCTCCTGTTCTCCTGCATGCTGTGCATTGTGCGCTCAGACCCGGGCTCTCCTAAGAAATGCCGGGCTCGCTTCGGCCTCAACCAACAAACGGACTGGTGCGGTCCCTGCAGGTGTGTAACCGACATTCCTCCACTTCCACTCAGCCGACGCTGCGTAAAACGCCCCCGTCTGCTCATCACTTCGGTCTGATTCAGCCTTTCTGAGGAGACAGAGCGGCCATGGAGGCGGTTTTCACCTCACTCTGACAGTGTCACCTCCAGATTTACCCGTCCGTATCATTCCTCCTGTTCTTCACAGGAACGCTCCGATTTATTGGAGCTGATTTCCTTAATTTTGAGAGTTCAGCGATCGGCCGGTGCTTCCATGTGAAGCCGATCTTTTCTACCTCAGCAAAGGTCTGAAGTCGGCATCTGACCTGGTCTGCTCTGCATGAGAGGTCAGCCTGACCGACCGGCCCTCCGTTACCAACTCAGAGACGTTCTTGTATACTTAGCAACATTTCAGACAAAAAAATATCATAATTGGCCAAATGTGAGTCAGCAGATGAGGCTTGTTAAACATCAGGGATCGTTTTTGATGTTTATCACATTACAGCTGCAACATTTAGCCTGTTTTATGGATTTTTTTTGTGCTAATATTTATGAAGTGGAAACAGGATATTTCTTTTAAAAAGTTTTAAACTTTCATTTATGTTTTGGACAAAAACTGTTCCCAACGGTTTTCCCGTCTCAGGGAAGCTTATCGATGCACCGACTGCAGTTTTTTGGCTGATCACCGATTTCCAATCTTGGCCAATACCAAGTTTTTTTTGTCTTAAATGTTTTTAGATGTAGGCAGAAAGCTGCTGAATATTGTTGCCTGTAAAGGTTTGGAGCGACCCGGTCTGTCAGTCCAACTCGTCTCACTGCAGAGCGGCTGATTGGACCGGCTGCCGCGTGACAGAACATCAAAATCTCTTGGGGTGTGAATATTTCTCCCAGGCCCAAAATCAGCAAAGGAAACTTTGTTCATGATCAGCTCTGTCTCTCGGGGATCGGTCACTTTCTGAGCTCTGCATGTCGTCTGTCACTAACCTGCTGATCCAAACCCAAACACACCGAGTCTGACCCAAAACTAGAAGAATTTAGCTTTAAATTACTCAGGAAATAAAACACAACCTAAAAGATTTTCATTTTCTTCAGCAAAAAAATAAATTCAACTTTGGTCATTTCTGTTGCTTTTTCTACAAAAACAGTTTTTCCAAAACTGCCTGAACAGAAAAGTTTCTGCTGGTTCCCGTTAGCCGCTTTTTGTCTGGACATGTATTGTTCATGCGTTTAATGCCAAAGAGGGAGATCGTGTGCTGCAGGTAAAAGAATGTTTCCTTATTAATCACATTATTAGTTGGTAAAATAATTTTGCCAGAAACCGGAGCTGATAATCACCGATAATCAGATCGTCTTTCTTTCAACCTGGAAACGTTTCTTTGTCCTGATTATGTTATTTTTTGTTCTTCATATGAATTATTGTCATTTTGATCTTTAAAATACCAAAATTTCCACTTAACTTTATATTTTAGTCCTTTTGATGATGTGATCTTTAAATTTTAAATGATTGATAATTTGATCAGTTACTCAGTGCTTGAGTCGACTTTTTACCAAATACTTTTTACTTTTACTTTAGTAAAAATGTCTTGAGTTCAGTTTTCGGATACTCTGCCTCCTCTGCTTGTTAATAAATACCAGTTTTATGATTTGTTGTGGATATTTCAGTGGATGTTTCGCCTCCTTTAGTTTTCTGGAGGTTTGAGCCACTAGAGGGCAGCAGCTCCCACCCATAAGGCCGGAGCTGCAGGGGGTCGACCGCGGTCCACGGCTAGTCTGCAGGAGCCGGGAATCTGACATGAAACGCTCGCTCCGCCGTCTTCCCCGCTGTTGCGTCATGGAAACCTGAGTGTGTGTTTCGGTTTGAGAGAACAAAGGGGCTGAATGTGGTTTTAAGCCTTATCACCACAGCTTCACACACACACACACACACACACACACTCCCTGCAGCGCTGCATCTTCTCATGCCCGTCTGCTTTCTACTTTCTCCATCCCTGCGATGTGGTGACGAGCGTCGTTTGATGGTGAACTCTGACATTTAGAATCACTTTCTACTGCAGAGTTCCTCCTCTGAGTCTAAATACGGCGCAGCGCCTCAGTTTGCGGTTGAACCTGGTGACTCATTTCATGTTTTGGTGATGATCTTGGGATCCTGTTAGCTGCTTTGATGGTATGGAGGTCTGCTTTAAACGTAACACCTCACAGAGCGCAGCAGGAAAACACGATCTGATCGTCGCGTCCAAACCTTCAGGCAACATCGCTACGTTCAGCGTGACGGCGCACCGATTTACCAGACAGACGATTTCCTCAACGAAACACTGAACTGAAAAATAAACCTTTTATTGAAACCATACAAATAGTCAGTAATTAAAGCTCAGTAAATTATTGCCCACTGCAAAAAACAGAATCTTACCAAGTATTTTGTCTTAGTTTCTAGTTAAAATATTTTAGTGAACTTGAAAAAAGAAAAAACTAACTTTAAACAAACTTTTGAGTGAAATATAGCTTGTTTTAAGTCAATAACTCTTTAATATTGATGAAAACGTTTTAGATCCATTTGCAGGTTGTTTAACTGATATGACAGGAAATAATCTGACAACTTTTTCATCAATTTAAGGAATTATTGACTGTTATTTGATTTTGTTTGATTGTTATAAAGTAATAAAATTGGGCATTATAATATGATAAAACATCATTAAAACTGCATTAAGTCATAAAATAGTTTTTTTCTTGAATGCAGAGGTTAAAACCAGAGTCTGAAACTAATGACCAAAAGTTTTCACTTCACTAGAATGTAATAATTATGACGAACGCCAGCAGTGTGATCATTTATTACACGTTATTGATGAATGGATTTACTGCCGTTTTGCGCTCTGAGCTGATGGATGTCTGTCTCATGTCGCTTTTTAAGTGTGAAGCAGAAATTCATTTGGTCTCGTGTTCATTGACTCACTGTGATTCTGCGCCTCCACTGAACGCTGCTGACGTCTCCACACTTTATTCACAGATAACTCTCTCTGACTGTTCCTAGGAGGAAAAAGAAGTGCATTCGCTACCTTCAAGGAGGAGGCTGCCCCAGCCCATCTTCTTCAGATCTAAGTGCTATAGACTCGCCCCCGTCCCCGTGTCCCGCGCGCCTCCGCCTCTACCAGCAGCAGCCCCCGTCCCCGCCGCCCTCCCCCTCCACGCGCCGCTCCTCACACACGCGCTCGCAGCCCCGCTTCCCGTCGGAGCCGTCCGCCGGCAAGCGGGCGGACCTCTGCCACCTCGCCCCGACCCTGGAACTGTCGGGCAAGCAGACGCTCTGCTCCTCGGCGCTGTCCGCCGCCAAGGTGGCGGGACTTTCTCTCAAAGTGCTAACAGAGACTCACTGATCGCCGCGGCCGTCCCACCTCACTACTCTCCTCCTCGGCTCCCCAAAGGAACGAAGATCCTCCTGGTCGCCTCCTTTCATCCTGCAGTCGTGATTTTCCAAAGGTTTCCGTTTCCACCGCAGCGACATGAGAACAAGCTGTTCACCTTGTGCTTAACGCTTCGGAGGCCTGTCACAGTTACTAACAAATCCACAGCTGTCATGACGTCACACTTCCTGGAACTTCATAGCTGACTGCCATCTTGGTAGGCAGTTGCTATGACAACAACAAACAAGCCACAAGCTTAGAATTAGCTCTCACCTTGTTGCTATCTAACTTATAAAAATATTGCTTTACAACTACCTGAGTCCTCTACTCACCTCTGTGTAACACGTCACTGATATTTACTGTAGTACTTACTGCTGAACTAGCTACACTAGCTTAGCTAACGTAGCTTTTATCAGGTAAGACGGACATGTAGCCTGCGTACATGTACTCACTCTGCAGTCACCAGAACCGTGTCATTCACCTGAAGAGTTCTTACGTCCTTCATAAATCCGTTTAGCATCGATTGAATGAAGCTCCTCCATGCTGTAAACACTTCCTGTTCACTAATTAGTGACGTCTGTCTCAGCAGATCAGAGGCAGCTTCTCCCCACCGTCTGGCCTGTTTCGATCCCATCAGCAGACATTTTGTTCAGGAGTGTCTATAAACCTTCATTTTGTTGACTTCGAAGCCATGTGCTTGCCTACCAAGATGGCGGCGATCACTTCCAGGTCAGACTTGTGGAACGATGAATTGTCCCAGAACTTATTGCAATAAATGATGATATTCTTGTTTTGAGACCATTTACAACCTAAACAACGGTAACGGCAGAATAATAATGCAATCAGATTCTCAGAGATCAATAAACTTCCAATCTAATGAACTGGAACTGGAAGACATTTTAAATATCTGAAATAAATAAACCAAACAAGAGAAACAAATAAATGAATTATGAAGTGACTGTAAACAAAAGCATCAGACTTATCATCCAGTTTTTGGTAGAAAAATGATAAATTATGCAAATGGAGATTATCGAGTTCATTTTAATGTGATTTATTGATTATGGTGACCGGCCTGCTGACAGGCACAAATGATTATTGATTATATGATCAATTATTTTCAGACTCAAACTAGTTTCCTTCCAGGACTGAACTTCATTTTGGCAACTTTGAAGAGAATCAGAGCAAATGTGTCTAAAATGGAAGCAGCATTTTAACTGTTTGTTTTTACTGGTCCATCACAAACACTCCAGTTAAAATATATTGAATTATAATGTGGCAAAAGGTGGAAAAGACTTTTTCAGAATCTTCTTGTTTTGGCTCAAACCGTTGGAGTTTTGGTCGGTTTTGTTTCAGGACGGTTCCTCCTCAGAGTTGGTGCTCACTTTGTAACTTTAAGATTCATGTTTTTCATGTCATTATCTCTTCTGGACCCGTCTGACCAGCAGGACCTCGGATTCCTGGGAAAAGTATTCCTATCTTTTATGTTTGTATTTCCAGAGGAGGTAAAGCAGACTCCCAAGTCACTTCTTTTAGCACTTTTAGGCTTCTATTCTCCAGCTTCACCCGTTAATTTTTTACATTTTGTTTTTTACCTTTTTGTGTATGAATCTCATCTCATTTTTAAGGTCATGTTTCTTTAAATTTGTTTTTTTCCTTCTCTGCAGCTCCGCAAACTAATCTGTGACCGATGGGTACTATTATATTGCATTGTCTTGTAAAGTTTTATATTATAATAAATAACTTTTGTATGTTTTTATGGAATAAAAAGGTAAATTCTTTTTGAAAAAAAATATTATAGTTTCCACTTTTTTCTAAAAGCAATATGTTTTTTTGTGCAAAATTTTACCCTTTGTGGTCCAGTATTATTGCAGAAGCCTTCAAACTATTTTGTGTTCAGTCGGTGCATGTTCCAACTGTAATGTTACATTTCGAGAAAGGAGGTTTTCATTTCACCGTTTTCTCGCAGTAAGTGTAGGCTGAGCTTCTGTACCATTCTTCTCCAGCAGATGGCGCTGTTGTGGTTCAGGCCAGGCAGAAACAACTGGAAGATGTCTTTGTACTTTCATGCTTTGAACCCTTTGATGTATGGTTTTTGTTTGATGTTATTAAAAGTGTTTTTTTTAATGTTTAAGGCTGCAGGCTTATTTTTTTCCAATGGGATAGTTATAAGAAATATTGCATTTATTTTTTCTAAAACTCAAATTTCTCATTTTTAAACCAAAAACAGAGCTTTGACACTGGATGGATGGATTTCTGAAAAGGTAAGGCTTGGTATACAGCACTGGCTTTACAGTAAATCACTACCAGTTATTTAATAGAAACAAAACTAATATGGACAGTGGGAGCTGTAGCTTAAATATGAACTACTACCACTGAATGGATAAAATCTTAATTGTACTTTTGTGTGTTCAGGATAAAATTATGTCCTAATCAGCCCAACAGCCGATTATCACAGAACATTTGGACCACTGATATTCCCGTTATACATTTACATCTTAATCTACCAGAGGTGGTTTTATTTTAGTCATTCAATTGAAAAAGTGAAATTTAAATATAGCAATAATCACCATGTAATACAGCTGAAAAATAAATGTATAAAAGCTTCACTTATGGACTCAGTAAGCAGCTGCATGATTGAAGGACATTTAGAGAAACTGCTCGACTGAAACTGGTGACTCCAGACAGAAAGACGACACCACATTAATTTGAAAGGTTTTATTAACTCCTTCAGTGCGCTTATCCAGCTAAAAAAACCAGCATCACAGCTGAGTGTCCAATTAAATACACAAATTTATGAGTCAACGCTGTGATGAAGGTGAAAACATCTATCCGCTTCCAGCTTCATTCCTCCTGTTACGCCTTCCAGGTTTAAACAAAGCCAATGTGGAGCAAAAATCACATTCACCCTTGGTTTTTCCATTGTCAAAAATGTAACTTTATTCAATTCAATGAACCTAAAAGAATAATCTCCAGTAAAAAAAAAAATAGACAACTAGAGCAACTAAAAATAAGGATAATCTGGAAGGAGGGATATCGTTTTTTTTCTCCTTCAAGGATACAAAGCCATGAGAACAGGACTATATTTTATGTAGAGTGTGTGAAAACGGTAATAAGCATTTTATCTTTAAATTAATGACACCACACAGGCAAGTTAAAATGGTCATGCTATTATTGGGATACAGAAATGAAGGGAACTAGAGAGCAGAGTGGCTGTCAATATCCTAAAAGTAAAATATTAACAAGTATGAACAACGCCAGTGCAACCAGTAAGCAGGGACAATCCTCTCAGTGTGGTAGTGTTGGCAGGATTCTCCGCTTTATTTTTCTTCACACCACTGGTTCTCTTTGCGTACCTGCACACAGAACAGCCGGCAGGTGAACTCTCGTTTTGCCTCGAGCGAATAAAATGATCTCATTTTATGTTTTAATAAAGTATAATAGGTACCTGGGCCTCCTCCTCCTCTGTGAAATCATTTTTGATGTTGAAAGTCTTCCTGATCTCTTCTGGGGTTTTGCCTTTGATCATGTTGGCCACTGTCTTGCAGGTGACATCTAAGAGGCCTTTGATGTCCAAATAGTTAGCGGCCTAAACAGACGAGAAAAATAAAGAGCAGCAGCATAAGGCGAGGCGGTGAGAGGATGAAATGGTTCTGCACCATAACAGCAACAACAAAGGAAAATCTGAGTCCAACATTCGTTTCAGGCTCAGTGGTTTAAACAGATGTACTGTAAAACTGTAAAACACACCATCGTGTTATATAATGGTTCTAAATTTGGGGGTAAAAACTGATATTATTCCAGGGAGTCATAGCCAGTTCTGCATCAAAATAATCATTTAAGTTATTTATTCCTCATTAGATATCCTTTAAACGGATGAAGCCTCTTAGGGTTTGTGGTTATAAACAAAGGTGGAGGGTGAAGGTTCATCAGCTCATGTTTCTGTTTGGGAGCCGCAGTGAGGGACCAGAACCAGAACCAGGTCCAGGTCCGCACTCGGGTTTCCCCTCACATGATCGGCCTGTTTACCCGTCCTGCTGCCCACATCAAATCATCAACCATCTGTTCTCATTTAAACTTAAAATAAGATTGTTTCAACTCAACTATTGGCTTGGATAAAACAGGAAACGTCACACCATCGGTTTGGCTGCATGTAAGATATTTAAGTGAAAAAACTAATCAATAATTATCAATAGACTGATCTTGATAATCCAGTCGGTAGTATTGTTTTAAGTTTTTCAGCTCATAATCTCAGCCTTACTGAAAGCGAAGCAGCAAAAGTGTTTGATAATTTATGACCAAAAGGAAATTCCTGAAATAACTGGTACCAGTTTATTTAGAGAAGAGAAAAATAATCCCAGGTTTGCCAGTAGCTGCTGCGGTCAGGGGTTTCTGTTTAGACGGGCGTTTTGTTTTAAAGTTCTACACTGTAAAAAGTTATTTTACCAGGATGAGTTCAAACAAGGTGCCTTGGTCCACTTTGAGGAATTCCTGGTCCCAAACAGGAATGTCGTCCGTCCTCTTCTCCTTGTTCTCGTCGTCCTCAGGGGGAGGGGGGTCGTCTTTGTGATGGGTGCACCACTGAATCACCTGCAGGAAAACACAGCATGCACATTTACCTGCAACCTGACCGGACGCATGCAGGAGCTCAGCTTTAAATCAGCTGGTTCAACGTCTCCAAGGGTAAAAAGAAAAGTGTGCAACCATTTAATGAACCGATTCTCAGACTCGGTGAAGGCAGCTGTAACTGCAGAAAGCTTTTGGCGTCTCATCCTGTCCTATCGTCACAGTTTGTCTGTTTTATCATGGAGAAAACAACGTTGCCCGTCAGAACCTGCTGCACAGATTTATGTTTACTATTCAACTGTTTTAAAGGTTGTAATACCTGGTAGATTACAATTTAAGGATCGAGTATTTTCACTGTTCATGTCGGTTGAATGATTCCCAGAGAAGAAAAATACATAGAAGATCCAACAAAACAGACTGAAATGTCCAACAGGAAAACGGCAATATAAACAAACAGGGGTGTGTGTGTGTGTGTGTGTGTGTGTGTGTGTGTGTTACCTTCTTGAGAATGGCAGCATTCACATTAGGGAGGGGGACGGGGTCATCGTCGCCTTCATCATCCATTCCCAAATCTGGAAACACAGAAACCAGCATTCATCTGCATTACATTCACGATTATTCATGATTATACTCGATAAAAATCATTTCAGAAACCGATAATTAGATGATTCACCTTCTAACATGGTCTTGATGGTGACGGACTGCTTGGCGATCTCAACGTCCACCTCAAAGATTTCCCCATCGGAGCTCTGGAGTTTTATCGTGGGCATTTCCTGAAACAAGTAAAATTCACTTATTTACAGAGTTTCCTTTTAAATGGCCAATAAACTTATTGATCATTTTATTCCTGGACATTTTTATACTAAATATTTAGTTTGAACTATTGTAAGTATTTAGTATAATAACGAGCAGGTTTATGCATTCATTCAGGCATGTCAACAGAACAAGGTGTAAAGATCTATAACATTTAAATGGATTATGCTTCATCAGACACACAGAAATGTTTTTCATCTTAATCAGATCCAGAAACATTTTTAAACCAGTATCCGAGTTCCCAGTAAGTCACTTTAAAACAAAACATAAAAAAACATTTGAGTTGCAAAAACATAAATTCTGATGAAGCAAATAAAAACAAGAGGACTTTCTATGGCAGTAGATACATTAATAATTAAATTTGATTATTTATTACTAATAAGACACGTAGCCCAAGATCAACATCATACTTTTGGTTTGATAAAAACCAAAAATCAGTTCAGTGAAGATTAGCTATGATTTTAGTTTAATGAAGAGCAGAATCTCCTTTAACTCTGTTAATGTTTTCCAGAACAATCTGCTGATTTTATACTTTTATACCTCTCCACTTGCTTTTCAAGCCTGAGCAAAACAAACAGTGTCCAGGATGAAAGTGCTGAAAACGAGGTGAACACACCGACATGAAAAAATGATGATTAAAGCAACACAGTTCCCACAAGTCTGAACCACGAGTGATCGCCGCCATATTGGCAAGCAAACGCAGTGCAATGCATCGATGAACTATGGCTTCCAGACCAACAAAAAGAAAATATATGGACACTTCTGACTAATGTGCAAGAGAAAAATATAAACAAAATGGCTGCTGACAGGATCGAAAGGTGTCAGACGATGAGAAGCTGCCGCCGATCTCCTGCTCTCTAGAGAACAGGAAGAGTGTTTACTACATGCCCATCTTAGCTAGCATAAAAGCTCCACCAGCTAAGATAATGTTGCTAGTTTGGCAGCAAGTAAATACCACTGATATTTATGTCAGTGTTACAGAGGCGGGTCGAGGACTCAGGTAGTTGTAATGTACTTGAATTGTTTATAAGTTAGATAAGAACGAAGCCAGAGCTAGTTCTAACCTTGTGGCTTGTTTATTGTTGTTATAGCAACTCCATAGCAACTGCCTACCAACATGGCTGTCAGTTACAAAGGTCACAGAAGTGTGATGTCACATGAAACATGCATTTAAAAATGTTTGATTTCAAATATGATTCTAAGAGAATGCTTCCCCCGCAGAAACAGGCTCACAGCCTCCTCCGACCCACAGCATCATACGTCTCCTTCAGCAGGCAGCACTGTGACCATCAATCATTTAACACAATTCAGCCTGATCTGATTTGACGGAAACTGCAGAAGACACAGGCGAACCCATGACTGTCCACAGCCATCACCATCTACAATAACACTCAAGAATCTTGAATGAGTCATAACAATTAATTTCCATTTGGGATTAATAAAGTATTTTCGAATTAAATTTTTATAAAATACCATAATGTCCTCTGCTGTTCTTAGTTATAAAAACTAAGACAAAAGTATATCAAGTGATAAATATTTCTACTGCTGAAAGTTTCATGGCAGTTAAAAAGAAAATATGAAAAATCTTGCAACGTTTTAGATTCTACTTTAAGTATCTAAAACTTCAAAAGCTTTACAGTAAATTAACCAATTAACCCAGAAAAACTGACGTTAAGCTGCTGTAACTGTTCGGTAACCTACATGCAAAATATTTTTGCATCATTTGAAAATGCCTTGATTGTTTATTCATTTGTTTCAACTCTTAAACCCAATTACCGTTTTTCATACTTTAATTTCTTTTTCTTATTGATGTTCTGACCTGAATAATAAAAGCATTGAACCAGCGTTTAATGCTTTGCGTTGGTTAGCAAACAAGCTAACGTTAGCTAAAACTACTAAAAAGGCTCGTTGACAACGTGCCGTTTTCCATTTCTACTAACAATACATGAGTATATGTCATTTATAGTTAGTAATAATAAAACTGTACAACCGTAAATGTAATTTTAGGTTAACTGTGGGGGTGTTGTCAATTACATTAACTTATTAGCCGACCGGTCATGCTAACGTGCATAAGCGAAACAACGGAAATGCTGAACAATTAGCCTGTTTAGGAATGAACACTGTGGACAAATCTCGGATATAGTTTCCATCTAACACCGTAAAAAGGACAATAATTATACTGTGACTTTACAAATAAGATAAATAAATATTTATATTGTGTCCAAACAGTCTGCTAACCAGTGTGCTAGCCTCGGCGAGGCCTCTTACCCACCAGACCGAGGCGTTTTATTAAAATAATAATTTTTAAAAAAGACACAGCAGTTATAATCACTATTTAACGACAAATGACACACAACGTAGAGCTACGTACCGTGAATAACTAAGCTGAAGTCAAGCTGTGAATTTCTTCCGCTGTTGTGCAGAAAGGCCTGAGGAGCGTGGCGGTTACCGTCTGCGGCTGTGAGTCTGAGGCTGAACCTGCTGGAAGCGACCTGCCGGCGGCTGGACGGAGGGAGGGGGCGGCCTGTTTATCACATCTGCGGCTCCGCGGTAACAGGTCACAACGTTCCGGCCAATTACCTATTTACTTTTATTATCGTTTGCATTTTGCGGAATACTATATATGATTTTAAATGTTTTATATGCAGGGCCGGCACAAGCTTTTTTGCAGCCCAAAGCAGGTTTTAATTTTGGGCTCCCTTTCCAATATGTTAACACCAGATGCTTTATCATTCCCGTGTGATTTGGGTAGTAACTAGTTACATTTACTCAATTACATTTAGACCTACTTGAGTAGTTTTAAAAGAAAAAACAAAAAACAAAAAAAACATACTTTTAGGAATATTTTTTTTACTATGCTGTACTTTATTATGAAGTATTTCTTCTCTTACTTGAGTCAAATTTCTGGATTTTCTACCCACTGAATGAAAAACAAACATGTTTTAATCTACAATTCACCAGATTCAGACACACACCTGCAGTTTTTGTTAAAATGTTAAAAGTTTTTTATTGAAGAAATTGATTTGGGAAAAATATATTTTGCCTAATTTCTTGGATAACTTTTTATTTTTACTCGAGTAAAAATAGGTTGAAGCAGTGATGTTCTAACTTGAGTACAAATTTTGGACACTAAAAAACTGTAGAAAATGATATGCAGTAATCTATACTTATGTACTTTTTAAGTGTCCATCCTTATGAACATAACAGCATTATAAAAGTAAATTTTGTAACTTGACACTATTTACATTTATTTGCTTATTTTACTGTTTATCAACAAAAGATTCTTTTTTTACCATTTTTATGTGTACCGATAATCAATCTGAATTAATAAACCAATGTGGAGCTGATTTAATAAGTGTCTAACAATGCTATGAGTTAGAAAATGAAATTTTACCCACCTTAAAAGATCAGATAAGAAAATAAATAAAATGCTTCACAGTGGGTGTGGTGTTGCTTTTGTAACCAAAAGTCATCAGATCATGACACTTCCCACATATTTTTGGAGACTCCAGATGTGTGTTTTTTTATTTAGTCATGATTGCATGATTTTCCTCTTCAGAAAATGTTTCTGCATTGCGTCTGAAGCAGATGGGAGATTGTAGCCAGAAATTCCTGCAGCTTTCTGAAGTTGCTCTCGGCCTCAGTAGCAACTCAGACCAGTTTTTCTCGTCTTTTTTCGCCATTTTGGAGGACTTCCAGTTTTTGGTTGTGTCACTATAGTGCTCTCACCTTTAAGGTATTTTGTACAATTTTATGTGCACACATTTTTCTGATTTGCGTATCAGAAAGGTACTTTACAGTACTTAAGGTACTGTAAAGTACCTTAAGTTGTCTGACTGGAAAAGCACAATTGAAGTTTAATCTATTTACTTTTGCAACTTTCTCAGACATTTCTTTTTCCTCTGGGGTTGAACAGAGTATGTCACAATAAAAGTGTAAAATTATTCAGTTATCTTTTATTTGCATTTTAAAATGTGATGGCATATTAAGGCCAGTGTAGATGGAGAAGAAAGTAAATTACCATCAAGAAATTCAAATTCTCTAGAAAAAAATAGGTCCTTCCTGAACTCCAAGAGTAGAAAAATTGCAACAACAAAAAAAACTCAGGAAGTTCCTAGAACAAAAATTTTCTGAGCTCGTAAAGTTGGAAATTTTAGAGATCAGAAATTTACACGTTTTTCTAGAAAATTTGAGATCTTAATTTTTTTTTATTTTTTTTTGCAAGTTCCTAACTTGGAGTTTGGAAATTTACAAGCTTTTTCTAGAAAATTTCTGAGATTAATCTCAAAATTGTTTGGTGGAAATATACTTTTCCCATCTCCATGGCCCTGATGAGCCGTTGTGTACTATATCCACTTTAACTGTTTTTGCGGTGTTATACCTCTGACAACCACTGGGTGGCGCTAAATAAGCCCTCAGTGTCTGAAATGATGCATTTTATAGAAATAAACATTTCCAGACAATTCTTCTTTAACCAAGCCGTTACGTTTGATTCACTTAGATTTCATACCTTAAAAAACAACTCAGACACCCAGAAGCCATCTTTATTATTCTAACTGCTTAGTTAAAATACAGAAAGGAAGGGAGTCGGTGAGTTGATGCGGATTTTTTATAAGTTACAGGGGAAAACTGTACTTTGTGTAAAGCTTTAGTTTTCTTTACAATAAAAAAAACAGGAAGGGAAAAAAAGTCATATTTATAATCTGTGTTTTTTAAACATATAATACAAATGTCAAATGTATTTAAATGTACAAAAGTGCAAACATATGTTGAGATCTGCTGAACTAAAGCTGATGGGACTCGAGCAGCTGCAGATGTACAGAACGAGGAGCTTCACGGTTTCGTCGTCAGCAGCGAACATCGCAGTGATTATGGCACACACCGTTTGGTCCATCCGCCTCGTCGCTGTGTGGATGTTCAACGTGCACTGCTGTGTTTCCCAGTTTTCTGTTCCTCATTCGTGTCGGTATTGGTTCAGAGTCGTTTAACGGCTGGACTCGGCTGTACACGGGTCGCTAGGAGAGGTCGAGGTTCACAGGAAGTAGTCTGGGGTGCGGCGGGTTACGTGTGGCTCTCCTCTGCGAGGCGCCGGATCGAACTGCAAGCTGAACAGACAAGAAAGGTTGAAATTACAAATCTGAGCAAAATATAATTTACCCAGCTATTAAACCAGGGGTGTCCAAAGTGCGGTGCAGGGGCCATTTACGGCCCTCTGAAGGATTTTGGGCGACCCACCAACCGTAGTTCAAGAATTGAACAAATCATAGTTGGCTCATATTTTATGGCAAATGACATCTTAGAAAATAAAAAAAAAGTCCCATTTACTGAAGACACTACAAGTATTATTGACCTAATTTTACTCAAAAGCAAATCTAACACCCCAAATAAAAAAACTTACAGCCTGTGTGTGTCTTATACTAATGTTTTCTATCTAAATTTTTATCAAAAATTCAACTTTTTTTATTTCCATAAAAATTTTCATTATTTAGTTCATTAATGAGCAGATAAAATTAAAAAATGCACAAAAGGTTTGCTTTAAAAATGCTATAAAAATGATAAAGTTCTCATGGCTAAAAGTTTGGACTCAACTGACTTAAGCGAAGCAGTTCGTCTCATTTCAAACGTTTTGTCTAAACATGCACCAGAAGGCTCCTGCTGGATTATTTTTGTACTTACAAGGAGTATTTGAGAGTGTCGTCCAACTCCATGATGGCCGCCTGGTTGCCGCAGCGATAGCAGTAGTTGGGGGCGCTAAAAATCGTCACCACGTTCCTCTCATGGCACCAGTTGTATCCCTGAATGAAGCAGATGTATTTTTAACCCAAAGACAGAACGACGTTTCAAATGCATCCATTTTACTGGCAGGTTGCAACTGAACATTTCATGCATTTACTGGGATTTTATGTGACCAGCCAACAGTGGATAACTGGAAACGTTACAACTTTTTAATCAGATTGATGGTTACTGAATTTATTTTCGACTCATTTAGAAATTGATTAACCATTAACTGGAGCAAAAAGGCAGAAAAAACATTATAAAAACAACAGTTAAGATGAAATGGTATAAAATATATGAACATTTTGCATCCCAGATAAAAACACTTTGAGCATAAAAACGTTTTATCCAGAACTCCTGAAGTGGTTTTTTAGCTTCACCCAATTCAGATTCACTAAGGTTAATGCTGTCACTGCAGTTTAGACAAAGGGTTGATTTTCTTGTTTGAGACAGGAACTGAATTGGTTTTTTACATCTTTATGTGTATTTCTAATATTGTATTAAAAAATTTAAGAGGTTAATTGAAAAATCTGTTGTTTTTTACCCAATGAATCAATTTCTAAAGTAGTTGTTGTAGTTTGTTCACAGGATTTAATGGAGATTAAATTTCCTAATAAGGCGACTGGACAGGGTAAAGTATCATCCGTCATAAATGAGCAGTACTTTGTGTGGGTCTGAAACTGTCTGGTTGACAAGGTGCAGAACCGAACCTCCATGACGAGCTGGTGGGCTCGGGACACCAGCGTGAGGCGGTTTGCGTGGTTGAACGTCTCTGAGATGTCCTGGCCGAAGGTGTAGCCGGCGCCGCGGGGGGAGATGCCCCAGCCGCCGCGGTCGTCCGGATCCGACCACAGCAGGTCGCACATGGGGCCCTGAGGGACACACAGGAGCCAAACACTCAGGAAAAATAGGAACTTTGAGAACAATCTTAGAAATTTTCTAGAAAATAATCTGGATCCTCCTAAGCTACAGAAGTCAAAAATTTGAAGTAAAAAAAAAAATTTAAAATATTTTTTTAGGAAAAAAAAAAAACTACAAATTTTGATTAATATCAAAAAGTTTCTATAAAAAAATTAGACAATTTCTGGGCTCCAAAAAAAATTCAGAAATTGAGATTAATCTCAGAAATATTGTACAAAAAAAGTGGAAATTTCTGAGCTACAAAAGTTAAAAACGTACGACTTTACGAGCTTAGAGAAAGTCTTTTTCTAGAAAAATCCTGCTCTCGCACATTTTTGACTTTTGGAGCTCGAGATTTCCACGTTCTGAGCTTTTTCTCTGGTAGAAATTTACTCCTTTTATTTCCCATCTACGCCATCCACCTCTCTGTTCATCACATTTAAAAACCCTGAGATTTACTTTCACACTCTGGTTTTTTGTGAAATCATTTTTTTTGTGTGGTTGTTCACACTTCCAAATATATGTGACTTGTATTTCATCTCCCAATTTGACCTAAAAGCGTCCTGCATGCCCAGTAGAGGGCGCAATAACGTCAGTAACATACAGAGCATGCTCAGTGTTTTGCCAACCGCCATAAAGCATGACGTAGCTTAAATTGCAATTTCAGATCGAATCCAATACTTTCCTATCGGTGTGATATTAGCAGCAATAGTTGTACACATTTAGATGATGTTACCTCATGTGGTACTTCCTGTAGACGGTCCAGAGCCCTGATGTGGTCCAGGGTGTCTATAGATGGCGACAGGCCTCCATGAAGGCAGAAAATCTGAGAGCAACACACAACATTTTGATGTAATGATGAGTTACCAGAGGCGCAAAAACATTACGCAAGTGAGAGTAGAGATCCTTCATAATAAAACTACTCATGTACATGTAAAAAGTACATCGCGGAAAAAATACTTGTAAAAGTAAATTTTCTCAAAATTATTCAAGTAACTGTAACTAGTTGCTACACGTCTGTCATAAATCTGAGCCGATATGAGGTCGACTCTGGTGACTCAGGTGGGATAACGCAGCAGCTCTCACCTGAGAGTCTACCTGCCTGAGAGTCTACCAATGCGGTGAGCAGCAGGTAGTCGGTAACCCAGCGGCTCTCACCTGAGAGTCTACCAATGCGGTGAGCAGCAGGTAGTCGGTAACCCAGCGGCTCTCACCTGAGAGTCTACCTGCCTGAGAGTCTACCTGCCTGAGAGTCTACCAATGCGGTGAGCAGCAGGTAGTCGGTAACCCAGCGGCTCTCACCTGAGAGTCTACCAATGCGGTGAGCGGCAGGTAGTCGAACAGGTCGGTGAAGTACTTCCACACGTTGGCGTTCCCGTATTTCCTTAAGCACTCATCGTAGAAACCGTAGACCTGCGTGATCTGTCTGCTCTCGTGGTTTCCCCTGAGGATCGTTATTCGCTCCCGGAAACGTACCTGAGACGCCAAGAGGAAAAAATATCCTTTATAAAACAATGTTTCTCCACAATCCACGGGAGAAAGCTCCGGTATGTAACCACCTTAAGAGCTACAAGCAGAGTGACAGTTTCTACGGAGTAGTATCCTCTGTCCACGTAGTCGCCCATGAACAGGTAGTTGGTGTCGGGGGACTTCCCTCCGATCTTGAACAGTTCCATCAGGTCGTGGAACTGGCCATGAACGTCGCCACACACCGTCACCGGGCATCGCACCTCCTGGACGTTCGACTCTTTGGTCAGGATCTCCTTCGCCTGCAGGAGGAAACCACAGAAAGTCAGGAACGTTAAACATTTAAACATAATCTGCAGCAGGGAGTCCAACATGTGGCCCAGGGGCCATTTGTGGCCCTTGGACTGATTCTGTGCGGCCCTCAAGTATAAAACAAAGACTTTTTATTTCAGTTAGGGTAAAATTATTACCAACATAATTTCATGTTTCATAAAATGTTCATTACATCACAAATATTCATCTTTTTATGATTACCAGAACCACGTTTATCCAGAGACTTTGACTGAAAAGCCGACTTTGCTGAACCCAAATCAGATTCAACTTAAACTTTTTGAAAGGAAGTGACCCACATCCTGCTTTAATAACGATTCAGTAAACATGTAAAATCCTTTTTGAGCTTTGGATCCATTATGAATAAACTCCATTTTGTACAGAAAAATAAAAAAAATCTGACAACTTTCTTTGCTTGATTTTTTTTTTCATGGCCCACAAAATGAATGTGATGATTTTACCTAATGTGACAGTTTTAGCCTCACCTGCTTGGATCCAATTAGTTGCTTCATACAGAAATTAGTCAACAAATGATCAAGCGATTACTAAAGGAAAGCTCTGCATTTTAGGTTTTAAAATGTTTACCCTCTTATTCAAAAAAAAGTATTTGAATTATTTATTTGCATTTTTAATGCATTTCTAAAACTGTACAAGAAAGGCTAAAGTATTTCTGCAGAATGCAGCCATTTAAAATAAAGAATCCAGTTAATTGACAGAAGGTAACAGTTATTTGCAGCCTGCTGCCGTTTTATTGGTGATTTATTCCAGCCACGCAGCAGAAGCTGAGGCCTCCTGCTGCAGTGCATGACTCAGCATGTGGCCTGCAGTCGTTACGGCCGCCGCCGCTTCACTGAGGGCAAAACAGAAAAATAAAATCATTCTGAAGAGATGCTTTAATACACACAACCCTGATTCCTTCAGCTCCATTTAAACACTCCAGATTTAACAGGGTTACCATGAGAACATTTTACATTTCAAGAAAAATAAAGGTGATTATTGTATTATAAATTAAAACAAGCTCTGTAATTTATTTGCATGATTTATCGTTTCTCTTTTTGGGTGATAAATGTCCAGTTTTAATGTTCATTAGTTCACTGATCTTTGATCATTTGTTCTTGCATTATTATTAAGCCATTATTTCCATTATGTGACTAATTGTCTCAAAACAACAATATTATCATTTAGTACAATAAAACTTATCGTGACCGGCCTTATTACAGATACTATGAGTACTGAAACAACATGGCATTTCTGTCACCGCTCATGCCTGAAACGCTCAAACAAACGTCTCCATTCGTTTCTCTAAAGTAACTTGGTTTGTTCGATGGTTCCCATGGATCCGTTCGCCGAGAGTCCGGCTGCAGACGGAGAGCGTTCCCTGGCCTGCAGCCAGCGGACGGGATCCAGACGGTCAGCACGGCCTGCAGCGCTGCACAAACCTGACCCACATTTACGTGCACGCTGCACGTGCGCACACGTACATGTGTGTTTCAGTCTGTGAGGCTGGGAGAATATTCTAGATGCCCCAGAGTGGAGCAGCGCTGAGCGAAGCTGTTTGGAGATTAAAGAAACAAATAAGTGGGTCACGTCTCAATAACGGATCCATTTTCAGTCGTTTTGCCTTCAGTTTCCAACTTTAAGTTAAACAATGAAATGAAAAAACAGTCATGAAGCAGAGATTTTAGAAAACAATCTTTGGGCTTCAACTGTCTATGATCATAATCTATGTTTGAATTGAGTTTTCTGACGATTAATTGGATTAAAAAATATATTTTTAATTTAACCACTTGAGCCTTTTTTATACATTACAAATGAATAAAAAGGTACAAATAAACAATTCAATTCCATTTTACACAAACATTTTATTGCCTAAAATGCAGCAACCACCATTTTATTTTATAATGATGGTTATATGAACTGTTTTCATCTTGACCTTTAAAATACCAACATTTCAACTTAACTTTACATTTTGGTTCATCTGATTATGTTTAAATATTAAATGATGTTTTGATCAGTTACCTTTTTACTCTGAAGTAGTTCTAGTCTTACTGGAGTTCAGTTTTATTGGGTAGTCTCGCCACCTCTGATGGTTACCTAGCAACCCACTCTTTGGTTGCTTAGCAACAAACTGCTGAGTAACTGGTGCAGCAGCAGTTTAAGGTTTCAAAACAAAACAACAGAGTGGAGTGAAACTGGAAAACAGGAAATGTCACCAGACGTTTGGTAGCATGTCAGGTATTTGAAACAACAAAATCAATAATTATTGATACAGACTGATATGAAACTCTGATATTGAGAAACGTCTCTCAGCCCACACCACATCCTCCATCAGATTTAATTTACTGATCATATAACCTGTGAATTCAATAATAATCTGCTAAAAAAAACCTGAAGGAGATTACTCTGATCAAATATTACATAAACCTGAACAGTGTGACCTTTAACCCTCAGTCTGATCCACTGAGGAAATGTAGCAGAACAAACCACAGATAGATGTTACATAAGACTCAGTAAACCTTCACACCACACCTGTGTTAACACACCTGTCCAGGTCTGCAGGTGTCAGATGCCTCAGAGCCGAACGTCGAGAAACAATCAGCAGCTTCCCGGCTGCCGCCGTATAATCCCATTAAAGCCAGTTAAACCCGGCTCAGGCTCTCAGGGCGAATTAACGGCCATAACGAGACAAACACAAAGAACGACTTCATTACCAACAACACGACACGCTGCTTCTGTCACGCTGACGTCACTTCCTCTCTCATAACGAACCCAGAATTAATTCATTTCTAACCAAGTGGAAAACAAGCGTCTGGTTAAACATGAACAGAGGTCATGAGGTGAGGCGACCATCACCTCATTACATCATAACGACATCATAACAGGTGATGTCATGTGCCAACAATACTAAAAAAGTACTCACACCCCATTACAACAGCAAACCTGATGTACTTTATGCAAGTATTGCATAACTGAACTGGAAGGAAAATGAGACGCTGGTTTCTAAATGTGTTCCAAACAAATCTGAAAAGTGTGGAAGGCACATTCTGACCTTACAGGTCTGTCACAACAAAATGTTGCCGGTTTCTAAATTGTCCAAGAAGTTATTTCAATAAATAACATTGTTGTTTTATCCAAAATAAATAAGCCAAACAACAGAAACAAGCAAATTAGGAATTATTATAAACAATAATTCTTTCAAGAAAAGTCTGGTTAAGGCCAAAGAGCCAGACTGAAAGCTTTTATCATCCAGGTTTTGGTTGAAAGAGCGAAAGGAGAAAAATGATAAATCATGCAAATAGGAATCGTCTAATTTAAACTAATTTTAATTCATAATGCGATTAATTGATTTATTGTTTATTGTGACAACTTGGAAATATCTGAAGCTTTAATTCTAAGTATGTGAAGAGTGAATATTTTGCCCATTTTTCTTTTCTGACCACAGGCTGTGTTTTGTATTGATGCCATTTAAACGTGTGAATATAGTTCGACGCTGCCATCACCATATTTAATGCTTATGTGGATTTAAATTTGGTGTTTGTAGCTGACGTTTGTTTTATTGAACAGCAGGTTTAAAAAGAACAGAAACAGATTTTCTAAACAAGACGATTCAGACCAAGACTGAAAACTACAAACCATGACACACAATCGGTTTAATTTTAACGAAAAGAGACAAAGAGGTCACCAGGAGGATGAAGCTCCTTTTCTGAACTTCATTACATTTTCTCCATCTAACTGACAAAGAATCTAATTTCCAGGCAGCAGAGGATTGTCTTCTTTTAAATTAAATTAAAAGTAATTAAATAACAACCAGAACTCCCTGTTCTGTAAATAAACTGGTTCTGAGACACTCCAGGCTGTGGAAGCACTGGGACAACTGGAAAAACGACGACGACGTTAGCAGCTCAGATTTTCAGGATTTCTGCCGCCGAAGGAAACTCAACACACACACACACACACACACACGCGTGCTGTCCTCAGTCACACCCTCTGATCCTCTTAGCAACAAAGGCTGCCACGGCGCTGCTGATGCAACGCACAATCAATTATGTCCTCTGCTATTTTGGAAACGGGGGAAGCTGTGTGGGCGCGTTGAGCTGAGAATATTAACAGAGAACCAGGGATGGAGGCAACCGTCTATTTTTAAAGCTACGTTGTTCTATTCTTCTGAAAATAATACCAGCAATATTTCATCTGACAACCAAAGAAGGCTAAAGAGCAGTTAAGAAATAATTGCTTCACTTTTAGGATCAGGTCCGTCATCCTGTTACACGATAAGTCGTCCCAGAAGTTATTGCAATAAATGATAATATTGTTGTTTTGAGACCTTTTTCCAGGAATACAATGGTAATTATGGCATAATAAAGGAACCAATTCTCAAGGATCAATAAACTTTAAATTCTTATGAACATTTAACCCTGGAAGTGGAAGACATTTAAATATCCAAAATAAAACAAAACAAAATGAATTATGAAGTCTCTGCTAGTTGTGACCAAACACCAGACTGAAACTTTTATCGTCCAGAAAACTGATAAACTGTGCAGATGGAAATGACTGAGCTCGTTTTAATTTATCATGAGATTAAGTGATTTATTGCTTATTGTAACAGGACTATTTATGAACATGATGTCTGAGCCGAAGCAGAAAATAAAAGTCAGGATTAATGAGCCCCTCGACTCCCTGACTTTTAACCTCCAGCACTCGGCAGACCAAACATGGCAATGAGCCGACTTCCTGTTTCCTGAAGGAAAACAGACCTGCTGAAAGAGAGGAGCGCTCTGGAGGGAAAGTACTGAAAAATCTGATTCTTCTCACTCATTGAATGCATCAAAACAAAAAACCTCCATTATTTCCATTATACAAATTCATCAAGCAGCAGCTTTAATGCACGTTTGAGCTGAATTCAAATAAATGTTTGGTTATAAAAGTTGGATAAATGGTTATATAGTTTGATGCACTAGTTGTTTGTGGTGATGCATAAACCTGTGCAACACAGGCTGCTGATCCCTTTAAGACTCTTACAAACATATTTCTACGCTCTGGTTTTGATTTTGGCCAAAACTGATATTCATATTTTAATTTGTGCCAATAATGGTGATTTTATACTTTTGTCATTTTAAAATGTGACATAAAAATTAACTCTTATAATTTGTTCATTATCTTTGATTCATCATAATCCGTAGTTAGAAAAAACAAACATCTGAATCAATTGAGTTGAAGTCAGCAGGTGAGATCATAAAATAAACCTCATTTAGTTACATAAAGCAAAAGGGATATAAACAGAGGAGGATCCAAAAAATATTACTCAAGAGTATAAGTACTTTAACATATTTTTACTCAAGTAAAATGAAAAAGTAGTTAAAAAAAAAGTATTTGGTAACAAAAAAAAATCTACTCAAGTACTGAGTAATAATCAATAATTTAATATTTAAAAATTACATCAGACAGATCAAAATATAAAGTTAGGTGGAAATTTTGGAATTTTGAGGATGAAAATGATAATTCATATAAATAACAAAAATCAGGTAAAATAAAATGTTTCCGAATCAGATTCTTTCAATATAAACTTCAGAACCTTTAACAGAAGCTGCAGGTTTGAGTCTGAGTTTGGGGAGTTTCCAGTTAAAACAGAAACTTTACTCAAGTATAATAAAATTACTCAAAAATAAAAGTACAGCATTGTAAGAAAACTCCTATACTTTTTTCAAGTAAATTGAATAAATATAACTAGTTACTACCCACTCTGCATATGAACAATACAAGTCGTACAATTTGATGATGCAAAACTTTTGTCATGGTAAAAATCAGCCCATTTTTAAAGCATAAACACAAAAGTTAACTGAATTTATTTGGAACCTGAAAAAACCTTCAGACTGGAAGGATGTGGACAGGAAACACCAACATTTTAAACATTTTATTCTCTTCGGACCTAGAAACACCTCAGTCAGATTCTAGTCTTTCCAGACAGCGTGTGGATGCTGGATTGGGGTTAAGCTGCAGCTCAGACCTCTGAACTGAGCAGCGTTTGGCAGCAGGAAGCAGCAACATATGGACCTGCTGCGCGTCCAGCTCACAGCTCAGAGATGCAACAACAAACAACTCGCTCCGTATTCTCCTGCTCTTTTTAGAATTTAATACAATAAAAGAAATATCCATTTACAAAAAGTTTTGGTTGCACACTTGAAGAAAACGGCACTAAAAAAAAGGGAGATGAAAAATAAATGCATAACTGGAAAAACAACTACACTGCAAAAATACAAAATCTTACCAAGTAATTTTGGTTTAGTTTATAGAGTAAATATTGAAGTCCACTTAAAATAAGACAAAACTAACTTAACAAGGAACTTTTAAACAAAACTTTTAAAAGCTTGTTATAAGTCAATATTTCCTTAATTTTGGTGAAAAGGTTCTGGTTCCATTGGCAATTATTACACTTATAATAAATTTTCCCAGGTTATAAGTGAAATAATCTTCTTTTGTAAATATTAAGTAATTATTCATTTAAAACAATGTCCTAAATTTTGCTTAAATGTTACTTTTAAGTTAGTTTTCTTATTGCAAGTGTACCAAGATATTTGAACTTGAAACTAGACCAAAATATTTGGTAAAATTTTGAGTTTTTGCAGTGTACAAACACTGGTTTAAATGAATGAAAGCTGTAAATGTGAAATCACTTGAACTTCCAGTGGCCAAGTTAAAGTTAATTAGCCACATTAACTCGTAGTAGTTGTTTTAAACCCGCATGTATTCAATTGGCTTATCGGTTTCAGGCTCCAGCTACTAATTACCGAATAAATAAGACGCGCCGCGCGGTGAAATCTATACTATAGACGCCATTTTAAGAATGTCTGGAAGGCAACAGAGAGAACAGGCAAGATGCTGAATTTAAATGTCTGATTAACATGAATCCGCTCCGGTGTCTTACCTTTTCGCAAAGTGTCTTCACTTGTCCCTCGGACAGCTGCTTGCATTCGTTCAGCTGCTCGATCCACTGATCAAGCTCCTTCGTAAACGTCTTTTCGTCCATTTCTGTTTTATTCTTCTAACAGCAACAGTTGCTTTTTTAAACCGAAACGTTAAGTAAAGTGGTTGGAGAAGCGGTTATCTGTCGCAGCTCCACTCCAGGCGCTGTAAACAGAAGCACGGACCTCCAGCTGCCAGGTCGCTGTGATTTGACTGAATTGAATCTGAACAAGGAGGGAAAAGGCGTCAATTTGAGAGCTGCGATGTCTGTAAAGATGGCCGCCAATACGGCGGGCATTTCCGGAAAGTACCTTCAAAATAAACGCTTTCTGGCTTAGCTACCATTTTAGAGTGAAAGAGACAGTTTAATCAGACGCAAATCTTCTTGCATGATCGTTTTACTCCTATAATTTTTAAGCAACTAGATAATAATCTCAACACGATAAACGGAAAACCAGGGGAAAAAACTAAAGATAGTAATTCATAATGAAATATCTCATAGCTTAGTCATCTATGTTCCATTTGCCTCCAAATATCAAACTCCATCCATCCATCCATACATCCCTAGGAGTCTCCAGGGATGTGAAGTTCCTCCAGGTGAGTTCTGGGTCTGCTCTGACGTTACTTCCTGTTGGAGCCAACGTGAGGTGTTGAAGAGTCCCGTGTTCAACACGCTCCAGCTAGCTCATCTGTGAGCAGCAGCTCCCCTCACTATGGGGGAAGCTCATTAATGCATGCTGTGATGCATTTAAATCGGTGAAATAAAATCCTTGCTCTGTACTACTTCCGGTCTGCCATGACCTGATTGGTTCAGCTTGACTCAGCGCTGACAGGAATAACAGTTGGGAGGGATGACAGCAGCTCTGTGATTGGCTCCCAGCTTAACGGAGAGGTTTGTATCGTCACTCCCTGGAACTTTGCCTATGATGCGAATTTTATATTGTAGCAATGACGTCACTGTTAGGGTTAGAGACAGTAAACAAAGCAGAAGGCATCCGTGACCTTAACCCGCGTTAGAAACACACGAAAGCAGCACATAGGAGACGTGCACAGCAGCACGTAATCTGAATCTCACAGATTAATGCGGTTTTCATGTTATTGGACATCTGAATAAGGAGGAAAGCTGTGCGGTCACATCGCGTTTCATCAAACCAAACACTGTTGCATCATGCGGGAGACTGCGTGTTGACTACAAGCTTTGTACATCTTGACTGAAATTTCTACCAGTTTCTTTTCACAAAATTATTCAAGTTTGTTGAGATTCAGTGAAGAACGTAGGATAGAAACCGTTTTTAAGTCTTACCACAGATTTCCAGTCTGATTTTGATCTGCCGGTAACATGAATTTGCATTAGTTTAAACCATTTGCCGAATGTTAATGTTTGACCTGCTGGAAGGTAAAACAACACCTCAGTCTGGACCGAGAAAGATGTTTAATACATTCGGTCTTCCTACTATTTACCATTCAGTCATTTAAAAGGGTAATAAAAATGCTTTGAAGAATTAATGTCACTGGTTCATTTTCTTCTTATCCACCCTTTTCTGCAGCAGTAAACCATAAAATAAAGCACTTTTTTGAGAGCACATTGCTTTTAGTTTGCAGCTGTCGGATATGACGCTTTCTGCTTTGCAAAGAAAGGAGACAAGCCACATTGTTGAAATTATTTGAAGCAGACTTTATCATCTCAGGTCATTCTCACTTCAGTTTTATTCTGTCTAAACAAACAGGGTGGATGATAGTAAATACCACATGGATATTCATCCGTTTCCAGGACATTTTCCATGTTTCTGCAGCGTCAGGTTTCTAGTCTCTCACACATGACCTGAACCCATTCTCACGGAGCGACAGGCGTCTTCTGTTTCCTTGTGTTTCACATTAACAATTTATTAAGCACTTTGTGAACAGCCTTGTTGGTGTAGATCATTTTTCAAAAGGTGTTCTGCTGGTAGTTTATCATTTCTGGGACAGAGAGACGGATAAAACAGAAGGAGAACTGGACCTTGGTTCTTCTGAATTAAAATGAACAGTTTGCTTCTCTGTGAAGCTGTGCCTCTTTCCTGCATGGATGCGTTAATAGAGATATTGCTGACATTAACAACATTTACTCTTTTCTTTCCCATAAAAAGTGATCTTAGCTCAGGATCCATTCACATCAGCCATTTTTGGTTCATTTTTGTAGAAAATCCGGTTTGTTTGGGAAGTGTGAAAACGCATTCTAACTCTAATGCGAACTAAAACAACAAACTTTGCATTCGAAGTGAACTCTGGTTCAGTTCAAATCCATATGTGAATGCCAACCGGAGACCACTCCAAAAGCAGGAAGTGGACAACAGTGCAGGGCATTCTGGGTAAATACAATCAAAACAAACTCCAGAGTCTAGTGCTAGACTCTGGAGTAGAAATTAAATGAAATCCTCCAATCACTAAAATCTGACTCCTCCATTTTTGTTTCCATTTGGTGAATATGGCACAAAACTCAGCACTCATACCTGCATTTAATGTCTGAAACCATTGAACTTTGCATCTGGAAGTTGTTCCCAAAAATGGATCAGAATTATCACGGACCTTAATTCTCTCCCTGTTATCTGATTTTTTTGTGTTTGAGGTGTTGCCACCTATGGGTGTGTTTCCATATGAACCAACATTGTCTTCAATGAGAAGATTCTTCAGTACCGCTGTAACACAGACTGCTATAGGAGATCCTTACTGATCACAATCATCAGCATCTACAATAACTCTTTCAAAAAACTTGAATAAAATGAGAAATCACAACAATTAATTTCTGTCTAATTTTTATTTGAAATTAATAAAATTGTTCCTCAGCAGGGAATTGATTTACTGTCAAACAGAGAGGAAAAATAAGTTATTACATAGTTAAAAAGTCAATATTGTTATGGTTTAGCATCATGTGTTGATAGTGTTTCCTAAAAGTCAGTTTTAGGATGTAAAAGGAATGACCTGTTGGTCATTATTACATAAGAGAGCAGGAGACATGCCCATGTAATGTAACACAGAAGCTTAATCCAAAGTAACCTGAACTGCATGGATTATTCTAGTATTAACGCTGCCACTCAGACTTGTTAGCATCAACCTCAGAGTGTTTGCTACAGATTGGGTATAAAATCTGAGTACCTGCTGCAGCCAGCGGGTTCTGGACAGAAGCCCGTTTGATTCCAGGAAAACAGATGCAGGTCGCATATTTACCCCGGAGCCGAGCTGCCAGCAGGGTGAAAGGCCTTGTAAACAATACTATCACTAAAACGGGTCGGGCCGATGCGACAGGAAGCCGGATGATGATGAATGGGTTATGGAAAGTTGGATGGAGATGCTGGTTGCTGGCATCTGAGGGGAGGAGGAGAACAAAACCCTCACAGATGAGTCGCCATGTTTCCTCCAAAAATACCAGCCAGGGATTGTAAAACATCTGTGAAACATTACATCATCTGGTGCATTGTGAAGACATGTGATGTTGTTCAACTTCATAAGAACTGAAAGATATTTGTCCTCTGCCAGTATCATGTTACAAAAATACAAAAAAATGAATTGCAAACTTTCTGCTTATGAGAAAGAGGATCTGTAGCTAATTCGTCTTTTTCCACATGGACTCACTTTCAGGTGGATTTTCACAGGTTAAATGTAGAAAAAAAACAAGTAAGGCTACTCCCTTCTCTCTCTTCCAATCAGAATCCAGTATTTTACCCAGAAACCCTGAAACCATGACAACAACGGGTTCCCGCGTCCATCCTGAATGCCTGGCGCCATCTGCTGTTTGAAAAGAGGAAGTCCACTATCACTTTAAAACTATTTAAAACAGATTTCTATTTATAAAATACTGTAGAGTACATTAAAATGTGTTGGGTAAACATCTTCCTCTCTGTATGCTCACTGATAAATCTAACATGTTTAGTTTTAGTTTGTCAAACTAAGTGAACAACAGAAATGGAGAGATAAACAGACCTGCAGAGACAAAGAAAACTGGAAAAATTCACCTCCTGATGCAATGCAGCGGTTTTTTTTTAGCTGCTTCTATTCTTTACAAAAGCATTATGTGATTTCAGCAAATCATATAATGAGGATGCTTCATCCCTGGTGTCTTCAGAAATCCTACCACCACACATTTTAGTGATGAGTCAGACAAACCATGCAGCCCATTTCACAAGGAAAACAATAAAGAAGCATCGCCTTGTTGGATGTAAGATAATAATTCTTTCTTTCTTTTATAAGTTTCACAAAACTCCCCTGGTTTTCATTCACAAAATATGCAGCTCTTCACAAAAGTACTGGTAACGATTTTAATTTTGCAATGTTTTTTATTTTTTCTTGCTGAGATTTTAAGTTCTGTAAAGTGGAACGAATACGATATGAGGATGCAAAGTGAAAATTACATTTATATTCAGCTCCCTTTGCTTTAATGCTAAAAAAAAAAATCCAGTGTAACCATTTCAGAAGTACCTTTGTTAGTAAACACATCCCACCTAAAAATAATTTAAATATGAAACAGCTAATTACTGTCACGATTCTGGCGTGTTTGAGTTGCATCTTTGTGTTTTTTAGATAAATTCCTCATTTTTATCCCTTTGTATTTAGTTTCTTAATTTGTTCTGATATTTTTGAGAATTGAGTTTTGATTAGTTTTTCAGATCAGACCATGTCAATCCTCTTGACTTGTGATTAATGGAGGAGATCCGACATAGATACAGAAATCTGTTCTTGTTTAACACAGGTTTAAGCATTAAATATATGTTCAGATTTACGTCTCTTGACCTGTAAACTGACCAATGAACTCATACATGCTTAGTTCAGTTCCTGACTGAAAATACTGACATGCTGACTAACATGTGGGGGTATAGCTCAGTGGTAGAGCATTTGACTGCAGATCAAGAGGTCTCTGGTTCAAATCCAGATGCCCCCTGATGTCTGTTGACTAACTCTGTTGGGCTGAAGGAGCCATGTCTGGAGAGCAAATGTCAGTTTGGATTGACAGAGATGCTAAATAGACACATGCATGTGTTGCTGTTTAAACATTAATTATGTTGTGTGGTCAGATGTAAGTTGGTTCAAATCTGGATGATCTGTTTAGTAACTTCTTCAACTGAATAAAGAGCCATCTTTTGAGACGTTAATCCAAAATGGACATCAAAACTAAATCTGCTCTTTATACTCAGATATGAGTCTCTTGACAAATGAGCATGTCATTGATCAATAGATGAGTAGTTCAGATTCTAGCTGAAAATACTGCAGAGGAGCA